ATCGCCGCGATTATTAAATATTCACGGAATTGTGAAGATATCTTTAGAGGCTGGAAGAAAGTGAAACTGGCCTTTTAATTTTTCAACTCGATTAAAAGCTTGATCCGGCTGATGAACGTAGATTTAGATTCGTCATAAATGGAACAGTTTTTAATCAAACTTTAATCTATCGGGTTTCAACGTCGCGGAATTAATTTAACATTCATTAATTACAAGAATAAATATTAAATGTTGAACAGATAGCAGGAAGTCGACAGAGAGAGAGAGTACGCGTGCCACTCTCGTTCCCATTGCAATAAACTCGTTTAGAGGTATCCGGCTCTCCTCCATCCCCCCACCCTATAAACGCATCGATTCTCGATAAACAAATTAACAGAAATTAAAACGCGAACGAATGGAAATTAAATCAGCGAAGACGTTTCTATTTAATTCGAGGGATACGCGTACGTATATTCTGTACCTTAATTACTTTTCCACATTTAATAATTGCTGCGAGGGGCCGTCGCTTTACTCCGTAAAAAGACTCGGCGAGGTTTATTTCATTATCGGTATTGGATGTCTAAGGGATAAATTGATTGAGGGATAAATAATATTTGAGCATATAATGTTTATTTGCAGAAAAATATCCTCAAAGGATAGTTCTGTCAACACTTTGTTAACTCGATTTTTGTTTCCGTTGCGCCGTCCACTTGCATTTGTTTCAAGGTAAAAATTAGGTGAATTATTGTTGTTAACAACGATGAAATTAAACGTCTTTTTATTTATTTGTTGTTGTTGTTGTTATCATCATCACGATGTAATTTGTCTTTCACGACTTTTTAAAATGCGATAATTCTTAAAACGATTTCCAACGTTTTACATGAAATTGGTTCCTCGGAATATTAGCTCTGCTTCTATTTTCACACATTTTGCGAAAATTCAGGGCGGAGAAAGTTCTCAGTCTTTAGAAACGAAACGAAGAATTTTTTCAGAAATTTATCCGGCCTTCTTTTTAAGCGCGTTTCCTCGAAATTATTCTGGTGCTCGCGACGAGGAGTTTGAAACATTTTTTTCAGACATTCCATAGCCTGCTGATCCTGCGGGAAATTAGCAGTTTCTTAATTCCTTGGCGTCGACAACTGGATGTAAGGCTGTACGTTCCTTGTCGATAGAGTAACTAGAGCGAAAGAAAAAAAAAAAAAAAGCAGTCGACAAACAACTCGTCCGTCACCTGACTTCCGCAAAAGCGAACGTTGCGAAAGCTAAGGATACCAGGAACGATGGACGACGCCGACGACGTTCGTCGATCGGTTTTATGCACTCGTCGCACATTTTGGTCATTCGGACGTCCGTCGGCTGGGCAATTATCGAAGGGAGATATGCAGACTCGCACTTTTGCAGTACTTAGTAAGCATCTCCGTTCAAAGTCCACGAATGCTCGTTGCAAGTCGCACCGAACGTTGCGAGCGTCGAGCCGCCTCGAAATTTTCACGAATGGGCTCGATGCTCGATAACAAGAAAAGTTATTACATGTCCTCTCTGATCATCGGCTGTCAGATCGTCGGACAAATCTGGCAGCGATCGGTTTAGGTTTTTGGTAGGGGATTCGTTCGATATATTTAGGGACACATTTGTTGACACTTAGAACTGACAATTAGCGTGCCTTTTTTAGGTTGGGAAATTATAGGAATATTAGAGTATATTGATGAATCGTTGGTGTTTGTCGGATAGTGAAACTTAAAGAGTAATACAGTAGAGTGACGGAAGCGAGAGGGAGATAGAGAGAGAACGAAGAACAGAATCTAGATTAGAAAAGTCTGCTGTGATTTGATAATACGTGAATATGTTATCGAGGACCGATGATAGTTGATTTAATTTCATTGAGATTTGAGAACAGGTTCTCGCGGTTAATTCGTAGTTATATATAACGAGGCGTTACGCATGGTGGGGCAAATTTAACGTAACCAAGTGGCAATCAGCTCAAGCAAGTGTAAACTTTATCGTTATCGTTTGTCAAAATCAACAAAGTGACAATTTGTTCGTCGTGTTCGTCGCGCTCCGATCTGACAACGAAACAAAACGACACGAAATTTAACGTGAAACGACACGACTGCTCCTGTTATTCGTAAAATATCTTTATATCTTTATATCTTTATATATATATATATATAT